AGAGCGTTTTTTCAGAAGTCAGGCAGTCCATCAACTGAGAGATCAATCGTCCAGCCAAGTGTGATATTTAGGTTAGAAGCTTCTAGCACTTCATCCAACGATCATCCTAGTGCCACGTGTTGCAATCTAGTTTAAACCATCCTTTGAAGAAAGTTGTTAAACACAAAACACGATTTTTCCTTTTTAATTTGAAAGTACGCTTTTAACCAGGTCCAAGGTTCGAAACTCAACAGACCCCCCTCATGTGAGGGTCGGTAAGACATCTGTGAACCGACCCTCTGTACATTTAGCTTAATTGTTAACTTATTACACTAACCAACAAAGTCCATTGAATTAACTTGTGGTTTACAGGTTGACTTATTGCATGTGTTTTCTCTCTTGTTATTGTAGCAATGATTTGAATGGTATGTCTCAAAGCTATTTTTTACAAAGAGCAGAAATTCCAGAATCACACGTTTGGGTGGAAAGGAACTTAATCAAGATATGCTTTTGTAATTAGCGCACATGTTTATCTCTAAGCGCCCGTTTGGCCCCCATTATTAAACATTATAATGAGAAAAATAATAATTTTTTGAAGAATGTGTAGTTAAAAAAGAAAAAAAAAAGTTTTTGAGTTTACGTGTAATATTATTTTATTGGAAAATATGTGGTTGATAAAAAAGAATAAAAAATAAATTATAATTTAATGAAAAATAATAGAAGTCAAACATGAGCTAAATGAAAGGTTCCAATTCACGAAAATTGCAATTTAATTATAACTTGTATTTAAATTCCAAAAATTGTAGAAGGTATCAATTCCTCTTAGCACGAATACCAAAAAAATATAAAAATACCTTATCGGCTTTGAGTTGTGGGGATTGGGTGTGCACAAAGCAAGAAACATATCAACTCACACGTGTTCACCAACAAACATAATATGTCTAATTATCTTTAACAATCTTAAATACAACAAGAAAATAGGAGATTTTAAGGTGCATTATTTCTCTACATGCTTGCATCCATACCTGATAAGAGATTAGCAAGAGCAATAAACAACTTTTCTTATGTGTCAATCTGTTTATGTTATATAAAATTTGACACAATTAATAAACAAGATTAAACTGTTTTTTTTCGACAATATTAATTGTCAAGTATTAACAGTCTTCTAACCAACCAACCAAAATTTTAAGGGACATATAATGTGTAATTGCTATAAACTAATATCCTTCGACATTTGTTCCTTATTTAGTGCATTATAAGATTTTATAACGGATGAGGCATGAAGCCTTATAGGAATGTCAACGAACCGACTCGAAATTTGAGACTCGAGCTCAACTCGAATAAAAATGGTTCAGGTTTTTTTTTTTTTGCTCAAGTCAAGTCGAGCTTTTGTTGGGCCAAAATGGGGCTCTGCCCGAGCCTCGGCTCGATTCCACAGAGCCGCGAGCCGGGCTAGCTCGACTTTTCTTGAGCCGAGCCACGGACCGCTCGAGTCGGGATCAAAATTGACACCCCAAGCCTTAAAAGTAGAAATAACCCTTAAAACCTTTTAAAAATGAGACCCCTTTCAATTATCCTTTGACATTTGTCCCATATTTTTGAGGAGATTCATAATTATATGCATGTTATCTGCACTTTAGTCTCCCAGCATTGGCGAGTGGTGGGACTGCAAATATAAACTATCATTGTATTTCAATACTGTTCTTTCACACTCCCACAACAGCACAATAGAGTGGATATTCCACAGTTTTTCTTTTTGCTGTTAAAAAGAGGAGTACTGGCATTGGTCTTCTTGCCTTGCTGAATAATATAACATGTGGGTAATTGTTCAATATATTATTCATTTATGTTTGTAATTTTTGAGTTTTACTTCTAGATTTTTCATTTATCTTTTGAATTTTTTACTTTCAGATAAACACAAAGTTTACTTGTTCATGCAATATAGCATTTTACCTTTTGGTAAAAAAAAAAAAAAAAAA